AGCCGTCGCGCCCATCGCCGCGCGCGACGAAGCGGCAATTTACGATTCTCTTGCCCGCCTCCCCGGTTGCGCAATCCTCTTGCGTAGTCTGCACGCCGTCTGAGACAGCGTTCTTTCTTCGCATGCAGAGAATTGATGCATTTGGGAATGCGGTTGGGCTTATTGTTCCACTGATTTACGCATCAGATCCTCCAAACTCTTGGCTTACTACTTCAAAAAGCATTTTTAGGAGGATGGTATATTCCTCATGCCAGATGGGTTCCGGTCGGAGCTGCAAGCTTATATATCACATGCACGACGGTATTTCACAGATAATGCAACACAGCAGCTGCTTGATGAGGTAACTACGATTTTTTTTATTGGTGTTATTTTCTGCACTCTTATCTCTGAATTGGTTATTATTCCAGTTACGCCCTTTGATGTGTGTCTGGGACGAGTCCATAGTAAGGGCTTGGCGATTGTTAGAGATGTTTGTGCCAATGAATCTTCCACCCGAAAGGCAAATTACTCATGGTAATGACTTTTCAACTTCGTTTTCAAATTTCGAGCAAACCCCGTTAGATCCTGCATTGAAAAGACTTTTAAGGGAGCGGGTTGTGGCTGGATGAGGCATGGCATTGGTTCGTAACAGTGGAGAACAACAATTTGGTCGAAGCGTCCATCCTCAAGATGTTTGTACGGTGAGTGTGGACTATTAAAAAATTCACGCTTCAATAATGTCTGAGTGATAGCGTCATACTGAAATCCCAATTGAACTTTCAGATTATCCGTTGAATGTCCAGGATCAGTTGATTGGACAGACAAACTCGATGTCATCTTTACGAAGGTGATTATTTATGGGTTCTTGAGCAACATCATAATTTCAGTATGGTCTGTCTGCCTCGCGAAATTGAAACATGCGCTTTGATATGCTAGTGTTTCGTGGAGACGAGTTATTGAAAAACACTAACCTTTCTCGTTTAGCAAACTCTCACGGGCATCTCGAGCCTTTAAAGGCAGCGTCCGCGATCAACCAAAGTGAAAAACCCTCCAATGAAAACGAACGCGGAGTTCGCAACCATAGCGGATATCCCACTCTTGCGGCTCGAAATGTATTGATTGACGAGGGCGGAGTCAACAAGGCTGAGCGGCTGACGCCTACCTTCTCCTTGTTAACCGGCCGACTGGTTCACGTATCATCAGTGCTTGCTGTGCATTGATATAACCGCATAAAGGTTCTGGATTCCGAGCCGCGACGTGTATTGGAGAACTCACCAAAGGTCTGCGAAACTCGTCCACATGCCTTAAATTTCGTAGGGTCTTATTTCACGCTCTTCCACACCTTTTTCCTACTTTTTTTGATTAGTGCTTCATTGGCCACCTGTTCTAACAAATTTGACCCCTGAGACCTGCCAAAGTCCATCGCGGGCGCTGTCTTTAAGGTTGCTAGGCAGTGCGTCCATTTTAATTGAATATTCAGAGGTTCGGACTGGGACTTGTAGAAGAATCTATCGAGAAGTGGAGTACTTATGTCAAATCCCTAAGAAAGCAACTTTGACTGTGAACAAGCGATGGGCGCAATGCAGAAGATGGTCGTCATGCGTTGGGAGGTCCGCATACCAACAGCGGTCGTATTTGCTCGCTGGAGAAGGGTGTTTATGGTTTAGTTGGCCTTTGTAGATAAATGTTTTTTGGCGCCTAAGGGAGGGTTTTGTGTTAGTTGCCTTTGGAAAAATATTTTCGTTTGTTGACTTCAATCGGTTCTCCTGCTTCAAGTGCCTTAAAGTCTCCCCCAGTCTCCCTCCTCCTCCCGGATAGCAGATTTCCAGACAAATAAGGAGTTTGAAAGAAAAAGCCTGTTAGGAAGTTGGCAGAAGAATGGTAGGTAGGATGGGGAAGGAAGGAGTCGTGCCAGAGGCGGAAATTTGGGTACTTCATCGTATTCTTTAAAAAAATTTCTCCACTGGCAGGACGTGCTCTGGTTGCAAGGAACGGATCATTTGGTTCCAAATTATGTTTCCATCGCATTTAGTGAATTAGTGTTATTTTCAGCTGATCCGATCATTTCGCCTCGGTAGCGTCGTAGGGCTTTGCCAGCAGTTCAATTCAGAAGGTGCATCAGGTTTCATTACGTACGCAATGGGAACCCAGTGTCATGAGAAGTGAGCC